TTTTTTTTACCTCTTTATCAGAATAACATTTGAAAATTTCTGACATTCAAATACAACATTCTTTTTAAGTTGATCATTTGTCAAAATTGTAACAACTCAAATAAACTCAAACTTTGTAACTCAAATTAACCTGTTTCCTCAGACAGGAACAAATGAAGACCTCCAAACCTCTCACAGAGTTATGTTAATGTAATAAGCAGTTTGGAAGGTAATAGGTAACATGCTGGAAACAAGTACTATGGCTGTGACTATGGTTCATTTTTTAGTGCACTCATTATATAGGGAAGAAATGGCAGGAACAAATTGGAACAAATATAGGATTTGGCATTAAACAAACCAACAAACCTAGTACTGTTTCTGGCACTTATTAGCTCTGTGACCTTGGGCAAGTAATGCTTTACTCTTAGTTTCTTCATCTGTAAAACTGGGAAAATAATAACTAACTTTCAGAGGTGCAAATGTGATATATGAGGTGTGATAAAAAAATACGGTGAATGTTTAAATACAAGACATTTATTACAATACAAGACACATTGCCATTAATACCCCTCAAAATACTCCCCCTTGCTTTGAACACACTTATCCCATCATTCTTGCCACTTTCTGAAGCAGTTCTGGAAGTCCTCTTTCATGAGTGTCTTTACTTCATCCTCCATCATAACAACGCTCTGTGTCACACATCGCTTCTGGTATACAGCAATTTCTGTCAAATAAAAACATTACGGCGTGGGCCGGCCGAGTGGCGCGATGGTTAAGAACTCGCTTGGGATGCCAGAGGGCCCCGGTTCGGATCCCACATATGAGGGTCTGTTCCCCTTCCCCAATTCCCCAGCACTGTTCCCATCCCCCCAATTCCCCAATAAAAATCTTTAAAAAAAAACAACAACAAAAAAAAAAACAACCAAAACATTACGGCGTGTCCTCATCCACCGTATTCACCATATCTGGCACTGTGCAACTTCTGGCTCTTCCCCCAAGTCAAAATGACAATGAAAGGAAAACGTTTTGAATCTATTCAGGACGTCGAGGTAGCCATGACAATGCAACTAAAGACACTCACGAAAGAGGACTTCCAGAACTGCTTCAGAAAGTGGCAAGAACTATGGGATAAGTGTGTTCAAAGCGAGTGGGGGTATTTTGAGGGGGATTAATGGCAATGTGTCTTTTACTGTAATAAATTTTATTTAAACATTCACCGTGTTATTTGATCACCTCTCGTATATTTGAAAGCATTTTGCACACATAAAGTGTTATGTAAATATTTGTCATTAATAAAGATGCTCTGAAATACATCACTCTTTTGTATCAGCCTACTTGGTTTTCCATCAAAGTTTATATCCGTTATTTGCTCCTAAAATCATTTTCTAAAAAAAAAAAATTTTAAATGAGAAATAAAAAATTTTCATTTAAGGGCTTTCAAGATCCCGTTGGTTCACAATAGTTACAAATATGAATCACTAAACTAGGAGTGTGGAGAATCTGTGAGAGAGAAGAGATCTGTGAAGTAGAAAACTTCCTCAAGCTAGCATTTTTGAAGTTAGAGACAGATAAGTGATCTGCCTCAGGCAGCTCTTCTACTGTATTTATTATCTTCATCAAAAAGATTGACCCTCTTGCCCAAACCAGAAAACTGGGAGCCCCTTTGACCACATCTCCCTCATCTCTGACTTTCAGCTCTTACTGTTCTCTCGGCCTGAGACATTCCTACCCCAGAACCCAGAGCCTGCTTCCACCTGGGAAACTCCTACTTATAATAATCTGCCCAGAATGAACGTCATCCCCTCTTCATCACGGAACTGTTTCTTTCTTTATGGTCCCACTGTTCACTGAATCTCTTCTTTTTTAAAAAAAATAGCATTTTATTCTACTTATAAAAAGAATACGTTTTAAAAAAAGAATACATCTTCATAGATGAAATTTTGAAACACAGAAATACAGAAAGCGATAAATAAATTATTCCACCACCAGACAAAGCATTATTAGATTTTTATTTGCTGATGTGTTTCTAGCATTTAGAATGGTATCTGTTCCCCCATGTGGTAGGTGGTTAATAAATATTTGTTGAATAAATGAATAAATATCCTCTATATCTTCTCATCTTCTAATGAGTTTTTCATTTCAGACACAATACTTCCACTCTCCAAGGAATCTGTTGAGCTCTCAGAATGTTCCTTTTTAAAGTAGCCTCTTCTAGTGCCACCATTAGAGCATCTTCCTGTCTCTCCAAATGTAATAGAGTTTTCTGTATGTTCTCTTCCCCCTGTGAGTTTCTGTCCTCTCCCCATTTTGGGGTGTGGGCTGGTCTCTATCTTTCATTTTACAAATTTTTCCATAAACATCTGGGGAGCCTTGGTTGCCTTTTCACATCTAAGAGGGAAACACTGAATAGCTGATTAGAAGCTCTGAGCACGCAGGAGAGGGCTGTCAAAGGTGGATGTCATCAGGTAAGACAAGAGCTGTGTGTTTGGCTGGAGTGCCCCCAATGCCAGCATCATGGAGTGGTCTCCTTTGAGTTGATCCAATTCCCCTGAGAGGGTAAAGGCCAGACTGTCAAGAGTTCCAGAACTGATTGGGAGAAGACAACTGGAAATGGCTCAGCACTAAATAACTCTTGGCCTAAGAACTTGTTCTCCCTGTTTTCCTTATGGTACCCCCTGCCCCGTCTGTGCTTGGTACACTCCCAATCCTAAGACCTTGTGTTTCATCCTCCCAGATAATAAACCTCCAGTTTTCTTCTGAGGTTGGGAACATGAATCTCTTTGCTGCATTATGGTGGGCCGGAATCAGGGAATGTACTTGCTTCTTAAAGAGACTTTCAACCAATCACCCTGAGTTTAGCACCACTTTCACCCTCCATGTAGTGCCACCAATTCCTGGGCCCCAAGGGGGCTCTGTTGTTTTAAGTGGGTTGCTTCTTGGCTCCCTGCCCCCACCCCCACTGCTGGCTAACTCAGCTTTCTATTTCTAGTATCTGCCAAGTCTGTTACTACTACCCCATTTGTTTCCCATCTTTAAAAACACAGTGGCTTTTGTTTCATCTACTGTTTTGTTTGTCCTTGTGAGTTTAGGCCCAATTCCTTTACTGTCAGTTTAGTTGGGTACTGAAATGTATGTGTGTCCAATCTACCATCTTTAACCAGAGCTCTGCATTTAACTGTTAAATGTTTGATGTACAGCATTTTCCTATGTTGTGTCACCCATGACACAGTGTTAGAATTACTTTTTCTCATTTCTATATTTCTGTCATCAAACTCTTGGTTCCTTGGGAGAGAGACCAAGTTTTTCTTATCCCTGTGTCCCAAGAAGATGGCATAGTATCCGGCACACAGCAAATGCCTGTGAAATATTTAGCTGAAGTTTTCATATTTACTAATGCCCATCTTTGAGTTTACATATATAGCATAGCCCCATCTCCTCACGTGGGAAGTACCCACCGGGCTTTGGCCATGTTCCTCCAACACATTTGCTTTCCCACTGGTTAGCCTGATAGGAGTGAAGACAGAGATAACATTGGCCCAAACCTTGGGAAGCCCCATTTCTAGCTGGGACTGGTCATCATCTAGACAGGGTCTCCTAATTCTAGAGTGGGGCTTTATGACACAAGGAGGCAATCCAGCAAAGGAGGGAAAGAGAACACGCTTTCAAGCCCAACTCCCTGGTCCCTATCCCAGCTCCATTACTTTCTAATGGTGTGATCTGAGGAAAGTTACTTAATCTCTCTTTCTCATGTGAAAATGGAGACAGTAATAGAATCTGTCCTCACAGAGATCTTATAAGGATAGGAACAGTGCCTGGTACACAGTCAGTGCTTTACAAACTTGAGTTATAACTTCTACTACCTTTAAGCTGAAAATCAACATCCTCAGTGCAGTGCAAGGGGCTTTCCAAGGTTCAGAATGATGCACTTCTTTGCAGCGATGATCTGCCCAAGGCGGGAGCCAAGGCAGAAGCAATGCCAGCCCACATTTAAGCCTCAACTTGATCTATCTGGTTAGTGGGCTCAGGATTTCAAATGACCCACCACCAACCCCTTTTATCTGGATGGGGGGAGGGGGCGATCAGCAGAGGAGCAGGACTGTGTACCTTCTTTCTTATATTAAACTTAAGGACAATCTTGGCAGAAATCAGCAAAGTGACTTGGACAATGGTTACAAATCACTAACAACTCTTGGATTCTAAGATCTGTGAAATGGGGACAAAAAAGTGGCCATATTTATTATTTCCTGGGACATTTTGAAGATGACAGTTACAAAGCATTTTTGAGGTGCTAAAGAAAAAAAAAAAGAGGTGCCATGAGTGAAAGATATTAATAAAGTTGTGGGCTATGGAGAACCAATCTTTTCACACTCAATCTGCATGTGCGATATATATCACTCTCCCAAGAATAACCAGGGCTATTTTTACATTAGGATTCCATTTGTAAGCTCATTGTTACTAGGTCAGCCACCGCCTCTCTTGTCTTTCTCAGACTTGCCATTTTCCAGCTTAATGCACTCACCCTTATATTGCTAAATCTCTACCAAAAGATACAGTTGATTTTAATTTGTTCTGGGTCATTCTGAAGTCCAGGCTACTCTGATTGTCAGACATCTATGTTGAGCATAACTTTTATCATCTGTTGAATCTACAATGAAAATTCAAAGCAAGACATGTCCTGGATAAGACTTTCCAGAAGGCTGCTGAACAAACTCCTGACTTGATCATTAATTAAATATATGCACAAACTCTTCCTGTTTCACAGCTCCTTCGGGGCCATTCCTAGCACAGATGAAACATTTACCAGGTATGGCAGATTGCAAAAATGGCCAGAATCATTTATTCCCCCTTGTATCCACATCCTCCGCAATGTGACTTTGCAGCTCCTTTCATTAAAAGGTGGAGTCTGGGCTAGCCTTATGACTTGCTTTGACCAATAAAATGATGTCGTGCCAGTTCCAAGTCTAGGCTTTAAGAGGCTTTGTACACACTTCTGCTCTCTTAGGATCTCTGCCTCCTCCCTGTGAACAAACGGCTGGCATACTAGAGGATGAGAGATTGTGTGGACCAGAGCCAAGTCTGACGAGCTGCCCCAGAGATATGACAGAGTCCAGACAAGATCAGCAAAGCTGCATACCCAGCCTACAGCTGACCACTGACATGTGCAGGAGCCCAGTTAGTCCAGCCTAAACTGCCAACCCACAGAATAATGAGCTAAATAAGTGACTGCTGTTTTAATCCACTACATTTTGGAGTGGTTTGTTATACAGCATTATTTAGGCGATAGATAACCGATACACCAAGGGAGTTGAGGATATCCTTATATAGTCATTTAACTTGGCTGTTACAGTCTCCCTCTTACTTTTGGACAATACACTAGGAGTAAGAAAGTATACCTCTTTGGGCCAGCCAAGTGGCTCAGATGGTTAAGAGCATGAGCTCTGAGCAACAGGGTCACCAGTTTGATTCCCACATGGGCCAGTGAGCTGTGCCTGAGTTGAGCTGCCGCTGAGCTGGCAACAGGCAGCTGGTGAGAGCACATCTCCTAACAACAAGGTTGCTAGTTCAACTCCCTCATGGGATGGTGGGCTATGCCCACCTGCGACTAAGACTGAACACTGCACCTTGAGCTGAGCAGCTGCGAGTTGCCGATGGGTGGCCGGATGGCAACTGGACTTGGAGCTGAGCTAGCTGCGCCCTCCACAACTAAGATTGAAGGACAACAACTTGGTTGTTACCTTTCCTTTCCCCAATTCCCCAACACTGTTCCCCTTTCCCAATTCCCAATAAAATCTTAAAAAAAAAAAGAAAGAAAGTATGCCTCTTCTTGGTTTCATTCATAATCTTTAATATAGGATGACAGTTTTATAAAACTAGGGTTTGAGGGATTTATTTTAGGGCGATTTCCATGACATCACTCTGAAAGCCTTAATAATAAAATTAAAAGCTAATGTTGACAGAACACTGACTACATGACAAGCAGGAAACTCTAAGAGCTATAGATGTATCAACCCCTTTAATTCCCACAAGCCTATGTGGTAAGGACCTTCCATTCTATAAATGAGGAAAGTGACGTTCAGCCAAGTTAAATACACTCCCAAGGTCTCACAGCATAGGTGATGAAGAATTCACACCCAGGCACTTTTAACTCCAAAGAGCATGCTCTTAACCACTGCGCACCTTGCCTGGCTCCCTGAAGTAAGTTCCGGGGGAGGGCAGTGTGTGGGCGGGGGGAGCATGAAGAATGGAGGCGAGTGTGAAGCAGCCACCAGCCTTACCCGAGCCCGATGCAGAAGCATAGTCATCGTCATCAATAGGATACACTCCTGAAGCATCTTCAATGGAGCTGTTGTCAAGGTACATGTCTTTATCAGACGTCAGCTCTGCCCTCTGAGAAAGGAAAGAGAACGCATTCAGGATGGTGAGAGATTAAGAAATGTGCTTATTTATTGTGGTTACCATCCCCCTTCTTCTGGTCCTCTGAACCTTCATCTCCGGCCCTACCCTTTCTCAGGACACCCTGACAACACGCATGAAGGGCTGACCACAGACGAACGCCCTGAGGGAAGGCTATGCAGCCTAATCTAGTAGAATAAAGATGACTCAGAGACCGAAGCACCTATCATGTGCTTATTTTGTTACATTCCACTAAACCTGTCTGAAAATCAGTGGTCCCAGTGTTAGTTTTAAGCCATCTCAGGTATTTCCTTTGTCACAAGGTCACTGCGAAGCAACCTTACTGGTACAAAACACTGAAATCACTTAAGACTTTCTTGGTGATGTATAACAAAAGTATGAGGGCACTTACGCTAAATCATCACCCAGCGATCCATCAAGGCCCACCATGGGCGCCATGCACGGGGCTTTGGACCTGCTTATCACTACAGCCGAGAGCTCCCCAGTCACTTGGGCAGACCAGATCTTTTGGCCACAGCCCAGATCCTTGCAGAGGCTAGGTACGGCACCCTGCGAGGAGCAGTGCCTATGAGGCTCAACTGACAAGGGCGGACGCCTACCACGAGCCCCCTTCTTGAGTTCATTGGCTGAGCAGAGCCTTAATGACAGATGCAGATAAACCCATACAAGAACATTCTTTTTTTATTACTGGTAACAGCAAATCACACGCTGAATACGGAGAGGGATCATTCACTAAGTATACCAGTTCCACAGCTTCTTAGCTCTTCGATAAGAGTTTTAGTATTAAAATTCAACCTAATCCTGCCAAAAGAGTAACACGCATGAATTGAAGGCAGAGTAGACATATAATTCCTTCAAATGGTTTTAGTAAATTGATATTTTCACCACCAATATCTCATGAAAGCCCCAAAACAAATAAAGCAGACTCTCAGCTTCTAAGCAATATGTGTGTTTGGAAACAAGCAACACTCATTATTGTACTATTTTAAAAATTCAAATNCACTACAGCCGAGAGCTCCCCAGTCACTTGGGCAGACCAGATCTTTTGGCCACAGCCCAGATCCTTGCAGAGGCTAGGTACGGCACCCTGCGAGGAGCAGTGCCTATGAGGCTCAACTGACAAGGGCGGACGCCTACCACGAGCCCCCTTCTTGAGTTCATTGGCTGAGCAGAGCCTTAATGACAGATGCAGATAAACCCATACAAGAACATTCTTTTTTTATTACTGGTAACAGCAAATCACACGCTGAATACGGAGAGGGATCATTCACTAAGTATACCAGTTCCACAGCTTCTTAGCTCTTCGATAAGAGTTTTAGTATTAAAATTCAACCTAATCCTGCCAAAAGAGTAACACGCATGAATTGAAGGCAGAGTAGACATATAATTCCTTCAAATGGTTTTAGTAAATTGATATTTTCACCACCAATATCTCATGAAAGCCCCAAAACAAATAAAGCAGACTCTCAGCTTCTAAGCAATATGTGTGTTTGGAAACAAGCAACACTCATTATTGTACTATTTTAAAAATTCAAATGGAATGTTTGTTCCTAACAAGAATTATAAAAAAAAAAAATTGCTTCCCTTACTACATTGGCTTTCATTAGAGTTCCTCTTAAAATAAAACTTTCTGTTATAGTAGTCACGGTGACTTGAACCTTCGTAGGAGGACAGACGGGTCCAGCCCTCCATAACAGTACCACTTTATTCTCTCAAGTTTCAGCTGCTGGCTAGTGAGGCTGAAGTATTTTAAACCTGAGCCCATATTCAGCACCAGGCTTCAGTGCCAACTGACAGAAAAGCATGGGAACCCATTCTGTTTGTGCTACCACACCGGCACATTCTGAGAACTGAAACCTTAGAGATTGGTTTTCCAGCGCTGGCTTGCAGGCATTGAATGACCACCCTGAGCCAAGAGTGTGCTGGAATTTTTCTGCTAGAATGGTCAGAGCTTAACTCTACGATCTGAGGCCATCCTACATTATACCGGTTTCCAAGGCTATCACCATTCCAGGCCATAATTCCCAAAGCTTGTGAACCGTATCAGGAACCCTGCATTCCACAGCTCTACAATCAACTTAACTGACCCCTATTAGACTCATAGCTCCTTTGAGGGCAAGGATTCTACCTCAGTTCAGCATTAATCCACCCAACTGCCTGCAGTCACAGTGCCGGGCAGATAGTAGTTGCTCAGTTAATGCTGCTTGGGCTGTATGTGCTTCCACCTGAAAGCAATTTTCAGTCCTGCTTGTATTAACCTTT